AAAAAAAAAAATAACCGGAGGAAAAACAAACAAACGGTAACCTGGTTGCCGAATTCACGAAGTGAATTGGCTTGTTTTACAACGTCGTTGCCAAGCGACGAAAACCCAACCCCGATGGCAAACACCGGGAGGGGCGGCTTGTTTTACAACGTCGTTGCCAAGCGACGAAAGCCCAACCCCGATGGTAAACACCGAGGGGGGGGGGGAGGGGTTCTTTCAAGTTTATGTATCAGAGAATTCAGTTGTCGGAGTAGAGAGAGCAGATCTATGCCCGCACTGTACGAGAACCAATCAGTGTACTGAACCTTCGGAATGAAAAACAGATTGCGTGTGTGACCAGAGGGTGTCCGCTTCCGATAATTCCAAGTACTTGCAGCGGTGTTCCCGTGGCGGGAGAAGCAGAATGGTGTGGTGCGAAAGATCAAACCGAGAAAGATCATCACCACCGCACCGGTTCTAGAAGTATCTGTCATGATAGCGATCGTTCACCGGTCCACCAAGCCATGTCGCTGCGTTCACTATTTAGTTCCGTGTTGTCCAGCTATTCTCTGCCGTATTCTGTTTTAGTGCATGATCCGGTGGATCTTGCACGTCGGTGGATATTTGGGTACTAGTCTAAATATTGAGTTTTCAGTCGTTGGGTTGGGTCAGAAGCGAGTGAAGCCGACTTACTCGTGAACGACGGAATTTGACGGTCGTGCAAACAATATCTCGCTAAAAATTACAGCGGACTCCGTCCCATTTGGGTGATGGCGGCATTTTTCATAACACGAATCCACAAGTCCCACACTGATCACCGGCCTCAGCAGCTTCAATGGCGCAAAGCCTCCCGTTGGCCTCCTACCCTGTTGTTAGGCAGTTAGCGTTGATGGAGCGTGCCCGTTCTCATATTTCTCTGCCCGCGTGAGATGTCCATATAGAGATGTCGGTATTCGATACCCTCGATACTGACCCGCGCGGGGATCCCGACATATCAAAAACAAGGGGGGGGTGGCCGCTGGTTTCGACGCCCCCCCCTTTTTCCTGTCCAAGGGAGGTCGACAACATTACACTCGACTGGACAGAAATGCAGAAGATTCATCACGAAAACCCGCCTTCTGTGGGGAGGTGTCATTTTTCTACGGTGTGGTGATGATGATTTCTCCGAAAAATGAGAACATTCCCCAAACAGCCGTATCGGTATCGAGTACAATTGAATCGATACTCGATACGTTTTTTTCTTTTTTCGAGTATCGGAAAAATTCGAGCCATTCTCCGAATATCGAAGAAAATATCGGTATGGACGTTTTTTGTCGATACGGTTGGCGTATCGTATCGAACCTTTTTTCTGGACCAATCTTCAACACTACCGCCGGCGCACGGCGAACTCGCCGCGCCGTACACTTGGGTTACGGTCATATCCCTTAGCGATGCTTTGCTCTGCGACTAGTCGGCAGAGATGCTGGCTCCATGAGTCGAATATGGAGTGTGGCACAAGCAAGGGAAGGAGAAGAATATGATGAAGGACTAGGGCCAAGTCTGGTACTACGGGCAAACGGGCAAAGCGGGTAGAGCGGGTAGTCGCATGGTGACCGGAGCATTGGAGCGTACCTCTATTCATCGCTCCGCACACAGCACGATCTGCTTTACACAATGTCGCCCACTCAGCCTACGATGGCGAGGCCCTATGCTGCTACTACTCCTGGCTAGTGGATGGACTTTTGAGTTAACACGGTGGATCCACCAAAATCACTGGACGCGCGAGGCACTGTTCTTGCTAGCATCCAAGAAATGAGTAGAGGCGTTTTCCATCTGGCCTCACTCTGCTCTCTGCCGGCCACCTGCCAGCTCGCTCCCTCTGCCCCTTTCCCCGCAGCCCTGTCGAGAGGGGACGTTGCCAGAGCAGCTCAACCGGAGAACATCGCGGCCGCAAGAGGGAAGTATTTGCTCTCAGATCGCTTGATTGGTGTGGCATTCGTAATTCCTCGAGCAGGATCTACGCTAGCCCTCTTCACAGACCAGCCAAACAAGCCGTCTCGTCTCTCGCACGCTGGCTGTATCGCCGTGATACTGCGGCAGTCTGCGGTACATCGAGGACGACCAGTCGGGACCGTCCCTCTAACTAATCTTCTTTCTCCCCTTCCTTGGTGAGTCGCAGTCCCCTGTAGCTGTGTGGAAGTGTCGGGCTGCAGCAGTGCCGAAGTTGGTTCATTTGTCTAGACTGCAAAAGCAGTGTATATTTGTCGACATGCAGTACAGACTAGAGTATCCTCCAGGTGGTGCCTGTACGACGTTAGTGATCGAATTTCCCGGTGGAAAAGGCCCATCCTGATGCCCACGTTGCTGTTGATGTTCTTTGAACACCCGTTTGGGCTTCCCCTCAGTACCACCAAATATCCGTAAGGTTCAACTGACACGGACGCCTTCCGTGGTCACAGACTCGCTGTTTAAATACCCAACATTGTTGTGCACCTTTATATGCATACCGTGCTTGTAGTACAGTAGAACCCAAGGAACCTGCGCGGTTGCCCCATTTCGGCGATGCCCACCATGAGCAACAACAGCAGGTCCTTGGCCTAAACATTAGTATATCGTGTCATCTATGTACGCACAGGATCGTTGTGCCGTGTTGGAATGCTTGTGTTTCGTATGGAAGCGTGCTTGGTCGACTTGTATTGTGGAAACGGACAAAAATGGGTACACCCACCCCTCTGACAAGAGCTGGTACAGCACTCGAAATTAACTTCACGGAGACCAACTTCGAGAATGCCGAACCACTTATTCCGGTGCGTGGACAACACGGTCAGGGCCCGTACACACATGCATAGCACGAAAGTTGAAACCATGGTGCTCATCTTGCAGCCAGTACCGATCGTAGCGAGCGCCTCAGAGCACGGCTGTGCGGCGATCCCAGCCAAAGATACGTGTTTTTTTTTGTGGCGAGGTGCGCTCAAAGCACAATATTGGCCAGTTGACGCACACACATGAACCCTTGTTCAGACCCACAAACGAGGCAGGACACTTGTATCATCATCCCACGATACGCACATGCATGGAAAGAATGTTTTCACCTTTACTGCAGATCATCACCCCTCCTGGTACTCGTTGCGAGGATGTGACGTCCGTCCACTGTTCTCTGTCGGAGGGAGTGTGTCATTGCGGTTGATTCGGTTAGTGAAGAGAGAGGGATTACAAAAAAAAACACTGGTGGCTTGGCAAGAAACCTGTCAAGCATAAGCAGTGTGTCATTTTTCGAGCAGCAATCGACCCTCTCACCAACTTCAGTCCCCAACATCCTAGCGACTCACGGTCTCTAAGGGCCGGTCCTAACCGAAATGTTGCGCCCCGATTTCCCGCCCCGACCACGAGCTTGAACAGAACGATCCACAGAACTCGCGGACCAAAAGTGTGGTGGGTCTTTACCGTTTA